CCTTTGCTATCCCTCTCACCTTACATTCACTGTTATGTTCGATTTTTTTTCCAAATTATTTTAAAAGCTTTTCTGGCTTACTTTGCCCAAACCAAAGGATTATTAGATGTTAAAGATACTGGAGGCTGGTATATTTTGTTTGTTACCCCAAAGGCTCTATGTTGGACACCTCTGCCCTGTGAACTTTGTCAAAAACAAAACAAATCAAATTAATTTTCCCCCCTGATTATGTGGAAGCTTAAAATAGGGTGACCTGATGTCCTGATTTTATAGGGACAGTCCCGATATTTGGGGCTTTTTCTTATATAGGCTCCTATTACCCACCCATCGCCTGTCCAGAGTGTTCATACTTGCTATCTGGTCAGCCTAGCTTAAAAGAAGATATTAACTAAATGAATAAATAAAATAAAAACTTTGAAGCAAATCAGCATATCTGATTTTGAGTTAAGACACTAAAAATTTAAGTTTCTGACCTTAGTTCAAAGAATCTAACTCTTTTTGGGAAGCTAATGTTTGGATTTATCACTTCTGATTTCTCTGCTCTGAATTCTTCCTGTAATAGGGTAATTTCAAACAAAACTGGTTTTAAATAAAGAAGTTTATTAATGACTTTGCCTTCTGGTTCTACATGAGCACCTGTGTGGTGAAGTATTTAATTAAGAATGATTTAGGCCCCAGTCTAGATAAACACTTAAGCACCTGTATAAACTTAAGCTTGTGAGTAGTGTCATTGAAGTCTTCTCAGTGCTTGGAAGTCTTTGCATGAGATACTGTATGCAGCCTTTAACCCTGATCAAAGGAACTCAGTCTACCATGACTTCAGTGGGACTACTCCCATACTTAAAGATATGTACATGCTTAAGTGCTTTTGCTGGGGCCTTAGCTGTCAAATGACACCGCTAATATATATTTTTATTAAAGAAACACAACATTCCTAACCATTTCATTGCAAAAGTGCCCTTCCAAAATGTAAACTGACTGCTAATGGTAAGTTTCTCAGTGACTTTTCTGAGTAGCAGCCGTGTTAATCTGTATCCGCAAAAAGAACAGGAGTACTTGTGGCACCTTAGAGACTAACAAATTTATTAGAGCATAAGCTTTCGTGGACTACAGCCCACTTCTTCGGATGCATATATGCATAAAAGAGGGCAGAGGTGTCCAACATAGAGCTTTTGGGGTAACAAACAAAAATATATATGCATATATGCATCCTAAGAAGTGGGCTGTAGTCCACGAAAGCTTATGCTCTAATAAATTTGTTAGTCTCTAAGGTGCCAAAAGTACTCCTGTTCTTTTTGAGTGATTTTTCTGTATATCATGGGCCATCTGTAACCCCCCACAACATCCCAGAGCTACCCAGTCCAACCATCAGAGCTCCTACCTTGAGTTCTTGCTCTCGACTGCCAGCACATCCACAACCTTCACTCAACTGGACACTTCACTCTGTCTTTAGAAGGCCCTGCAGCATTGAAAGAAACTGTCAGAAACACCCCTATCCAACCTTTTGAACCACTGCTTCTATTACCCCTCCCCCCCAGTTAAATGGATGTGTAGCACTGGTAAGGGAATATCAGGGTTAGATTTACCTCTGCTCCGTTCCTTTAAGGATTGACAGGCTGCTGAGGAGGTCAAAGGGGACAGTTCTGGTCAGGGCCAGCTCTGGCTTTTTTGCCGCCCCAGGCAAAAAAGCCTCCCGCCGCCCCCCAGCGGGGAGCGCGGCCACGACCCCACTTTCCCCGGCCGGCGAGCCCGGCTGCGGCCCCGCTCTCCCTGGCCGGCTGGAGCGCCGGGAGGAGGGCGGCGAGCCCGGCCGGGGCCCCGCTCTCCCCGGGTGAGCGCTGCCCCCCCCTCCAGATGCCACCCCACGCACATTCTTGGAGGGCTGGTGCCTGGAGCCGGCCCTGGCTCTGGTTGCAGTGGGTGCCCTGTGAAAGGACTGAGCAGCACAAGGGCTTGTGCAAGTTGTGTGTGTTTGCTTTTTGTTTTATGCTGTCTCTGGTCTGGGAATATAGTAGAGGCAGTTTCCATGAGCAGGAAGAGGGTTGGGTGTTCACATAATAGACTCTTGAGGACGGAACAGAATGGTGGAATCCAGAATGCTACTTAGTGCCTAAACCCAGATTTAGGCAAATAAGTTCTGTTTTTTGGGTGCCTAAGTCCCTCATTATGATCCTGTTGAAGCTGTACCACTGTGAATAAATAAAGAGTGATTGGAACAGGGGGATTTGACCCAGGGTTTCCTGCCCCCCAGGTGGATGCCCTAACCTGTGTGTGTCCGTCCATCCATCCCAGTGACTGTTTAAGTATTATTCTGCAGTGAAACAGATTCAACAGGACAGGTTGAGGGAACCCCCATAAGAATATCCCATAGTCTCAGATGTTAGAGACTTCTCCTGATAGGTGGGAGAACCATGTTCAAATCTTTTCTCCCCTCTGCCAGGCAAGGGGGAATTGAACCTGGATTTCCCACTTCCCAGGTGAGTACTCTAACCCCTTGGCTAAAAGTTATTAGGTCATCACCACTGACATGATGGCACTGGTGTAAACCCTGCTGGAATACTGTTCCAGTTCTGGTGCTTACAATTCGAAAAGGATGTTGATAAATTGGAGAGGGCTCAGAGGAGAACCACAGAAAGATAAAAGGATTAGAAAATGTGCCTTATACTGATAAACTCAAGGAACTCTATCTGTTTATTTTAACAAAGAAAAGGTTAAGGTGTAACTGGATTAAGCCTATAGGTTCATACCTGGGAAACAAATATTTAATAAGGGGCTGTTTATTCTAGCAGAGAAAGGTATAGCATGATCCAATGGCAGAAAGTTGAAGCTAGCCAAATTCAGACTGGAGATAAGGCATACGTTTTTACCAGAGAATAACCACTGGAACAATTTACCAAGGGTCATGGCGAATTCTCCATCACTGACATCCTGGAAATCAAGATTGAACAATTTTCAAAATGATATACTGTAGGAATTATTTTGGGGGAAGTTCTATGACCTGTGTTATATAAGAGGTCAACCTAGATGACCACAGTGGTCCCTTTTGTCCTTGGAATCTATGAAAAACCACTACTATCTGTGGCTCTGGCTGTTTCATATGGAGTGAGTCAGGAACCTAATTCATTCCTACAAGAAATGATGTAGGCACCTAAGCCAGGAGAGGAGTTCCCATTCATGAATAGCTATTAGAGGTAGGCACCTCCCTGCAGCCTGGACTTATCTCTGAGAAAGTGGTGGGCCTTAGCACATCAGCATCTCCTATTGGCTATTTTAGGTAGGGAGCCCTCTACCATGCTGTCTTTTGTGAATCATATTCTAAGGCACTTATCTCTTCCCATTCATCGTACAGGGAGCCTAGGTTTGTGGATCAGTGCTGTTCCTATGATTTTCTAGGTACCTTATGTGATTAATGTGCATAAACCTTGTCAAGTAGTGTCAGACTAAGCAGTGTTAGGCCTAAAACTTCTGGAAGTTGTAAGAAGCGAGTACAGTTGAATCCTGCAAGCATAAGCATAATCTAGCTAGGAAGCTTTATAAACTAAGAAGGAAACTCTGTAAAGATAAATACAGACCTGTGGTTACTATGCTCTGCAACCAAATATCTCTTTAAGCTAACTCAAGCATTTTTGAGTCTAGCAAATTGACCACCATTAGCCGCATAGAGAAGAGATGAGCTGAGCACAGGTGCACAGTTCATAAGATCAAAACAACTGCAAATACCACCCTAGAACATTTGGCCACCTTGATTGGTTGACCTGTTTTGAAACATGGCCAGCAAATACTGTATAAAATAGGTGTAAAGACGTGTGTGTGTGTGAGATCGCTCTTTGTCAGGCTCACATACACCCCCTGAACCAAAGGGACTTGCGCCTCACTGACTATCTGTGCCTGA